TCCATTTATGTTTAGATAGAGTGGGCCGGGAGGGGGAGAGAGAGAGAGGCATTGATGTGAGAGAGAGATGTCAACTGGCTGCCTCCTCACAACCCCGGACTAACCGCAACCGAGGTACGTGCCCTTAACCAGAATTGAACCCGCGACTCTGGTCCACGGGCTGATGGCTGTAACCGCTGAGTCAAACCGGCCAGGGCTCTCCTCCCTTTTTACCTCTCTCCTCATCTCAACTCACACTGGTCCCACCTAGCTCAAACATGTCTCTTTCTTGGGCACAATATTCAGCTCTCCTCCTACCCATGAATTCCAGGCCCTCCTTTGCTTAGCTGACCCAAGGAGCTGAGATTCCAGCCTTTACACATTGATTTAGTGCCCAAACTTGAGGTTTCAGAGTGTTGCTAAGTCTGCATACCTCTGTGCTGCCGTTGATGACATCTTTGCTAAACTGAATTTATTTGGAAACAAAATTTTAACCTATGAAATACTCTTTTTTTTTCATCCTCACCCGAGGACATTTTTCCATTTTTTTGTTCAGATAGAGTGGGAGGGAGAGAGAGGAAGAGAGAGAGAGAGAGAGAGAGAGAGAGAGAGAGAGAAAGAGAAACATCGACATGAAAGGGACACATCGAGTGGCTGGCTGCCACCCACACGACCCAACCAGGGCCAGGGACAAACTGCAACTGAGGTACATGCCCTTAGTGGGAACCGATATGTTTTTAGCCCTGGCCGGTTTGGCTCAGCGGTTAGAGCGTCGGCCTGCGGTCCTGAGAGACCCGGGTTCGGTTCCCGCTAAGGGCGCGTGCCTCGGTTGCAGTTTGTCCCCGGCCCTGGTCAGTTGTGCGGGTGGCAGCTGCTCGATGTGTTCCTTTCACATCGATGTTTCTCTCTTTCTCTCTGTTCCTCTCTCTCCCTCCCACTCTACCTGAACAAAAAAATGGAAAAAATATATATATATGTTTTTATTGATTTGAGAGAGAGATCAACAACTGCCTCCTGCACGCCCTCTACTGGGGATCGAGCCTGCAATCTGGGCATGTGCCCTGATCAGGAATCGAACCAGCAACCTCTGGGTGCATGGGACGATGTTCAACCAACTGTGCCACACCAGCCAGGGCCTGTGAAGTATTCTTTTATTTTTTAAAACTTATCTTTATTGTTGAATTTATTACAGATATCCTTCCCTTCCCCACCCCTGACCCCCTCCTCCATACTTCCACCCCCCCTCCTGCCTTCCCCACACTGTTGTCTGTGTCCATGGGTCATGCATGTATGCATACAAGTTCTTTGGTTTCTCTCTTCCCGCCCCACCTCCCCGCTTCCCTTTGAGGTTCGTCAGTCAAACATCCGATTTGTACTTCTTAATCCCTCCTATGTAGTATTCTTGCACAAAAAGTGGATGAGCTAGAGCCACATATGTGATCAATAAATCTCAAAAGCATAATGTTGAGGTGAAAAAAGTTGCATGAAGATATGTACAAACTATATGCCTAAAGTTTACCAAAACATTTAGAATTATTCTATACATTGTTGATGAATATATGCATATATGTTAAAAATGAAAATGTGTATGGGAGTGAAAACTAAAAATGCTAACAAACACATTTGAAAAGATGCTCAAAATCATTAGTAATAAGAGAATTGAAATAATGGCAGTATCACTTTACAAGGAATTACTCTGTCCAAAACGAGAATGCTGGATAATGCCAGGTGTAGGTGGTAATGGAAGGATACAGGAACCCTCATGAATTCTTGGTTGCTGGGGACAGCCATTGTGAAAAGCAGTCTGGCACACACATACCTATGACCCAGCAATTCTGCTCCCTAAGAAAAAGACATATAGCACTGGCTGATTTGGCTCAGCGGTTAGAGCATTGGCCTGCGGACCAAAGAGACCCGGGTTCGGTTCCCACTAAGGGCATGTACCTCGGTTGCAGTTTGTCCCCGGCCCTGGTTGAGGTCATGTGGTGGCAACTAGTCGATGTGTCTCTTTTCGCGTTGATGTTTCTCTCTCTCTCTTTCCCTCCCTCTCTCCCATTCTATCTGAAGATAAATGCAAAAATGTCCTCGGGTGAGGATTAAAAAAAAAAAAAAGACATATAGGTCTCTGAAGGGCCATGCATGAGGGCGCTCATTGAAGCATCACTTACAGTGATGATGCAGGGAGGGAGAATTGGAAGTAGCTTGGGTGTCTTCCCTGGGGAGGGGACAGTAAACTATGGTGTCCCAAGCAACCAAGAAGCCATGGAGTCAGTGTGTCCAGAGTAACATGGATGGAGCTTAACATCGTAGTGCTGAGCAAGAAACTTAATCGGATGAGCTATTTAACTCAGTCGTGGGTATGTAAATTAGAAAACATGTGCCAAGGAAACCGTGGTACCTGTTCTACAGGAACACACACAACAAAAATAGATATGGGCATATGAGAATGTTTGCCAGTAGGGGGCACTGAAAGGACTGTGATACAGGGATATAAGGAAATATGAAATTTAAAACAAGAGGTGCCGTGTGGGGAATGATGAGCTATGAAACTGAGGGTATGAGATTAATTCAACCCATGACACCTGAGATCTGAAAAAAGAAGACAAAAGGGGTTGGAGGATGATGAGTTCCAAATTTAGTAGTGAAATTATCTCTGAGGTGAGATCAGGTGTCTTCAAATGCCATCTGCAATGTATGCCACTTCAACATAAGCAATCTGGCCCTGGCCAGTGTGGCTCAGTTGAGCATTGTCCCATATACTGAAAGGGGGCAGGTTTGATTCCCGGTCAGGGCACATACTGGGGTTGCAAGTTCAATGCATTCGATGTTTTTCACTTCCTCTCCCTTCCTCTCTCTCTCTCAAAAAAAAAATAATAATAATAATAATAATAAAACTATTTAAAAAAATAAATCTACAGCGAATACAGAAAATTACTTAGGACAAAGCTGGGTGGTGAGGATGGAGGTTGTTACTTTATTCTCTACATGTTCTTGTATATTTGAGTAACTTCAAGAAAACTTTCCTTTCATCACTGACCATTAAAAACAAAACATCTTGTCTTAAAAATACAATGAAAGTATGTTATTAAATTCTAGCCAGACACAGAGGCCAGTTGAGAGCTGCTCTGAGCAAGGCTGGGAACGTCTTGAGGACAGAGGAGCATCAAACTCCTGAGCTTTTTCTCCATGCCACCAGCAGGATTAAACTGGATCATTTTCTCATCACATGCGTTTTATGTCATTTCATGCTATTTCATTTCATGTCCATGGACAACCTAAAATTATCTCATGTGCCGCTATTGGAAAATACCACTTTAACACATTGAATATGTCTTTGAAAGGATTTACCCTCTTTAGAAGGCATTGTAACAAAGTGTGTATATTTGTTATGTATACGAGAAGTGTACTTACTGTTAACTATACAACTTGATGAACTTTCACAGTCTGAATGCCCCCATGTAACAAGTGTCCAAATCAAGAAAGAGAAGTCTCCTTGTCCCTTCCAGTCACAGTACCCCAAGGGTAACCTCTCCCTTGACTTTTATCACTCTAGATTGGTTTTCCCTGTTCTAGAACTTCACAGCTACAGTATCATACAGTAGTAGTCTTTTAAGTATGGCTTTTTTCATTTTGCATAATCCTTTTGAGATTTATCCCAGTAGTTGAGGTTTTTTTGTTTTTGTTTTGTTTTTTAATCCTCACCTGAGGATATTTTTCAATTGACTTTCAGATACAGTAGGAGGGAGGGAGGGAGAGAGAAACATCGATGTGAGAGAGACACATTGAGTAGCCGCCACCCACACGACCCCAACCGGAGCTGCGTACTGCCTTCAGCGGGAACCAAACCCGGGACTCTCTGGCTGACGCTCCAACCGCTGAGCCAGACCAGCCAGGGCCCTAGTGATTCATTTTAATTGGAAAACATCTCATGTTGTTTACTACCAAACCAGTGTCTTGACAATAGAATTTTTAGTTCAGTTTGTTGCTCATTGTGCATACACCCAGAAGCTGCAGCTCAGACAGAGAACACTACCTGTCCTGGCCCTCGGGCTTGAGAAGTTTAAGACAAGAACTGGCCGCCTCCAGACACCACTTTCGCCTGCGGAACCAGCCTCCTGACACTAGGGGGCGCCATCGGAGAGGCCATGCGCCTCCCGGGAGCGCTGCTGCCGAGGCTGGCTCCTTGCACACCAGGACTAAAAGACATCCTTGGAACATGTCACTGAGTTCCCGCTGCCTCCCAGGAAAGTAGTCTTGTTGATACCCATTCCTCAGATGGACAAATGCACACGCTAAGTCACGCAGTACAGAGGAAATGGAACTGGGAACTGAACCTAGGACGTTTCCATACTTTGGCTCCTCCCTGTGACCTGTTTTGTCTCTAAGTGTGTGGTGGTGGGACGGGGACTTTTTCCCCACCAGGCCCATTCAGTGTGCCCCCTCCATTTTCCTAGCACACTTCTCTTCCCCCTCATTGTACACTCACCTCAAACTCCCCTCGCACACCCATCTCCTGCCATCCTCTCCCCTCACCCACAGCGCATGCAGTCAGCCTCTGAGCCCAGCTGCCTCCTCATCTCTCCACCACCCTGCCTTGGGCTAGCCCTGTCCTCACCTGCCAGGGTCCCTTCCTGGGCCTCCCCCTGGGCTCCTACCTTGGAGAGACGGAACCACCCGCAGAAGAGGCAGGATTCCAGGATTCATATGCAGGTCCGACTTGGATCTCTCTTCTGCTCCCAGGAAGGCCCATGTCTTAAAGGAGAGACATCAGGTGGTGCACTCACGCTCCCAACCCCACCTCTCTCCACCACCAGGGCAGCCTTCCCAGGGGCACATCGCCCTGCCCATGTGGCCAGATACTAGCACAATCTGGAATATCAGGTCTATAAACCGCTTGGGGGTGGGGCACACAAGGCTGTTCTCTCATGCTGGTCTGCCTGCTTGACCTCTGTCCCTTTCTCCAGACACCCTCCTCCCTTCCTGGGAGTCTGGGCCAAGGAGGGGCCTGGGCATATATAGGGCACCGCTGTGGGAGGGGCTGGCCAGAGAAACTTCAGGCAGAGAAGGTGAGGTGGGGATTCTGGGGGTCTGGATGGGCAGAGGGAACTGAAGTGGTCTGAGGCTCAAGGAGGCCCAGTGCTGAGCTCTGGCCGGTGACTGCCCTGCCTGGGCCTCACTATCCTCTTTTGTAAAATGGCCCACCGACAGGGGTTGTGGGAAGCTGGGCACACTCAGTTCCAGCCTGGACCTGGCAGAGAGCGAGGAGCAGCCGCTGGCATCTGGGGTGTGGAGTCGGGGCAGTGGGTCCTGCTGAGCCCTGCCCCCCACCCCCAGCCTTTTCCTGGCCTCATCCCTGCTCATGTGTCCCAGGCAGGACCATGGCTTCTGCAGCAGCAGAGGAGGAGAAGGGATCTCCAATTGTGGTGGGGCTGCTGGTCGTGGGCAACATCATTATTCTGGTGAGACATCCCCCAGTGCTGGGAGCAGGTGGGCAGGTGGGGAGAAGGGGGCAGTCCCGAGCCTGGGGGTGGAGGCTAAGGGCCCAGGACTCCCCAGCAGGCCAGGGCTGCAGGCTCTCAAGTCAAAGCAGCCTGGATTCGAATCTCAGCTCTGCCGCTCCCAGCAGTGTGATCTTGAGCAAGTGGCTTTAATTCTCTATGCCTGTTTCCCCCTGGATAGATTATGTCCTCATTGTGGGGATATTTGTGTAGATCAATCCATGTATGACCCTCAGCTTAGAAAAAGTGATTAACAAATGCTAGCTATCAACATTAACATGGTTATGGACTTAAAGTGCCTGTTTGGCACACAGGAGGCCCTTGATAATAAATAATAACAACGTATTTTACTTGCTATTTAATGTTTTGTTTTGTTTTGTTTTGTTTTTTAAATGTGATGCCTGACCTCGGTTGTAGTTTGTCCCTGGTCTTGGTTGGGGTCATGCACGTGGCGACCACTCTATGTGTCTCTCTCACGTCGATGTTTCTCTCTCTCTCTTTCCACCTCTCTCCCTCCCGCTCTATCTGAAGATAGATGCAAAAATGCCCTCAGGTGAGGATTAAAAAAAAAAAAAATGTGATGCCTGTACATGGCTCTGGGGCCAGATAGCCTGGGTTCAAATTCCAGCTCTGCAACTTTCTATTGTGGGACCTGGGATCACCTCCCTGAACCTCAATTTTCTCATCTGTAAGATGGAGATAAAAAAGTAATGCTGAGAGGATAAAATGAGTTACTGGATTAACGTGCTAAGTGCAGTCTGGAAAAGTGATGACTCTTTGTATTCACCATAACAACAAGGTACACCACAGCTGGTAACAATAATGGTCACCACACAGTTACAGACCCATTGCCTGGCACACAGTAAGTACTCTAGGTATGTTAATTTGATTGTTGTCAGTAGGAGTCCACCAAGAAGTTTCCTCTCTTTTGTTCCCTATTCCTCATCCCACAGGTAACCAGGTGTTTAGTTTTTCCAATATGCAACCAATGCAAGATATAGGAGCTTATATAGCTATTTTATCCCCTTTTTTGCCCCAAATGTACCTCAGTGCACGTCCTTTTTCATGCCTCCCATTTCCTCCCACTCACATAGCCTGTAGGCCACTCCACAGAAGTCCTCGAGAGAGCCTCCTGGTCCTTTTTCACAACTGCATAGCACTCCATTGTGTGGCATCCTGGTTCCTCGACCCACGGTGCTGCAGGGGATCACCGTGTGGGTTTGTGATTTTCCTACATAGGCAGGTGTATGTGGAGGGTTGATTTCTGCAAGTGGAACTGCTGAACCAAAGGGTTGATGTATTAGTAATTATTCCAGGAATCATACTAGTAAGGGAGGGCAGGTTGACAGAGCATCTCTGTGCCAGTCATTCACTCTAGGCTTTGCATGTGGCATCTCCTTTTACCCTTGAAGCAAACAACAGTGCAGGGAGGAAGGGAGTTCTGACTGGGCCCTCCCTTCCTTCCTGGCCTCTGTCTAGCCTCAGCCCTGCTCATGAAAGGTGATGCCTTCGCCTCTCTTGTTACATGCTCACTTGACGGAACAGGCAGTGGCGGTTCAGAATGAGGAAGCAACTTGCTCTCGGAGACTCACGCAGCTGGGGCTGTTGCCCCTGACTGAGCAGGTCTTTCTAACCAGCTTCTCTGTCTAGCTGTCAGGCCTGGCCCTGTTTGCCGAGACAGTATGGGTGACAGCTGACCAGTACCGTGTGTACCCACTGATGGGCATCTCAGGCAAGGATGACGTCTTTGCTGGCGCCTGGATTGCCATTTTCTGTGGCTTCTCCTTCTTCGTCGTGGCCAGCTTCGGTGTGGGTGCAGCGCTCTGCCGCCGGCGGTCCATGATCCTCACGGTGAGGCCCAGGAGGAGGGGATGGGGACAGGTAGGCACAAAGATCACGCTCACAAAGTCGTAATAACCACCAGCACTGCAGCCACTAGTATGTGTTCAGCATGGCACCACACCTGGCAATCATTTTAGTTCACCGCCCCACAACCCAAAACACCTGCCACCATTATTTCAAAAAGAAAACTGGGGCCCAGGGGAGGAAAGGAATAAAGCTTTTGAGGAGGACAGCTCTTGAGTAGCAGGACTGGGATTTGAACCTCAGCTGGCTGGTTTCCAGAGTCTACGCTCATGAGTGCTGGTGATAATGACAATAATCACAGCACAGGTATCATGGAATGAGTGCTCACTGCTTTCTAAATGCTTGACGTGGCTTAGTTCATTTATTCCTCACAACTGTTATGAGAAACTCTCATTCTCCTCCTCCTCGTCATCATCATTATCATCATCATCGTGAGCCCACTTGACAGTTGAAATGGAGGCTCAGAGAGGTGAAGTCAGTTCTCCAGGGTCACACAGCAAGTGAGTGGCAGAGCCAGGATTTACAGCTGAGAAGTTCAGCTCCTGAGCCTGTGCTCTCAATCTCTGCCAACAACAACAGCTGCACCAACCATATCCATACTTCCCAGGGTGCTGGCTAAGCAGTTTATAAAATGAGCTCCCTCGACCCTCCCCCAAGCTCTCTGAAGTTACTGCTTTCCTGCTTATGTACTAGAGGAGGACACTGAGGTTCAAAGAGGCCAAAGAGGTAGGGAGAGCAGGGATTCCAATCCCTTGACACAGAGCCAACACTGTGCTTCCTCTAGAGATGAGAGCCCTTTAAATTCCCAGAAGCACCTACTTATTCAATCAACAAGTGCTAATTGAGCCAGAACCATGTGCCAACCCTGTGCTAGGCGCTGGGGCTATCCAGTGAGCAACCTATAAAGTTCTCGTCACAGGGAAGATGCTCGGAGGAGGGAAGACAGTGACCAGGGAAGGGTGAGCTGACGCTGGGGAAGAGGGGAGGCCTCGCAGCCAGAGAAAGTAAAGGCCTCGGGGAGGTGATGAGGGAGCCTGTGGGTGTATCTGCAGGAACAACAGTCCAGGTGGAGGGAACGGCAAGAACAAAGGCTCTGAAGCCAGAGGAAGCCAGGAGGCCAGTGTGGCTGAAAACACATGGGGGAGGGGGGAGGGGCGGAGGGGGGGGGACAGCGGGCGGTGGGCACGGAGGGAAGGAAGGGGAGGTGGGCCTACCAGGTGGGCCTGACCCGCCTCGGTAAAGACTTGGGCTTTACCATAAGATCAAGCCATGGAATGGCTCTTTTCCTCTCCTGTTTCCCTTCTTTTTAAAATTTCTTTCCTGCATTTAATTCTCTGGCATAACAATGTAACCAAAGCCCTAAAAGTTTCCCCCAACTAGTAAAAAAAGGTTGATATCTATCTATGAGTTTGTCATTAACTGAGACGCAGAAGTGTTTTAAACATTATTATGGGACACTTGAAACAGACTAGAGTAGAGAGAATGGCCCGATGAAACCCGTGGACCTATCACCTGGTTTCAACCTGGTGAATCACAGGCCGGCCAATTTGTCTCGTCGACTCGCTCTGCCTGCCCACATTTTTCTTGCCTGGGGTATTTTGAAGCGCATTCCAGACACCAAGTCATTTACCTATAAATACTTGAGGGCACAGTTCCTTGCGTGATAAGGACATTGTTTTGAAGCAGTCGGGCATGTCATGCCACACCATCTCATCTCTCGGCAGTGTGGTTGGCACATCCACACCCTGGTGGTTTACTTTCTTTTTAAAAAAATTTTTTTTTTTATTGATGATTAGAGAGAGAGAGGAAGGGAGAGGGAGAGAGAGATAGAAACATCGATGAGAGAGAACATCGATTGGCCACTTCCCGCATGCCCCCCACTGGGGATCGGGCCCACAACCTGGGCATGTCCCCTGACCGGGAATCGAACCTGTGACCTCTTGGTGTGTGGATCGACGCTCAACCACTGAGCCACACCGGCCCGGGCTGAAAATTATTTTCATTAAACACCAGTCAAAGAAGTTTTTCTGTTTTGCCCAACCACCACGCTGCTGTCACACCTGCAAAATTCACCCTCATTTTTTTTTTTTTTTTTTTTATCCTAACCTGAGGACATTTTTTGTTCAGATAGAGTGGGAGGGAGAGAGAGAGAAACATCGATGTGAAAGGGACACACCGAGTGGCTGCCACCCGCACGACCAACCAGGGCCGGGGACAAACTGCAACCGAAGTACATGCCCTTAGCGGGAACCGAACCCGGGTCTCTCGGGACCGCAGGCCAAAGCTCTAACCGCTGAGCCGAACCGGCCAGGGCTCTTTTTTTTTTTTTTTTGTATCCTCACCCGAGGACATTTTTTTTTTTTTATATTTTGTTCAGATAGAGTGGGAGGGGGAGAGAGAGAGAGAAACATCGACATGAAAGGGACACATCGAGTGGCTGCCACCCGCACAACCCAACCAGGGTCGGGGACACACTGCAACCGAGGTATGTGCCCTTAGCGGGAACCGAACCCGGGTCTCTTGGGACCGCAGGCTGACGCTCTAACCGCTGAGCCAAACCAGCCAGGGCATCATTTCTTCACATCTATCTCCCAATACCCAGTCTGTGTTCAGATGTCCGGTTATGTCGAGAATATCTCCCGCCACCTTCTAGAGTAGACATTTATTTTATGGCATCCAAGTATATCGTTAACTTCAGGAAATACTTTACATATATTTTCACTTCACTTTCCCCTAATATTTTATTATGGAACATTTCTAACATACAGAAAAGGTGAAAGACTTGAACAACGAACACCTACATACCCATCACATACATGCTACCATTATTGTTATTCTGTACTTTTTTTTTTTTAATTGCATTTCTGGCACTCGCCCTCCCTGGAGCACTCAGGGCCTTTCTCCTCCGCCTGCCCTTCCCCCACCAGCATTTCCTGAACTCTAAGGGGCCCCTCAAGGCTGGCAACCAGGGCAGCAATGGGCAGCGGCAGCGTGTCACAGGCAAACCCCCTTTTCTCTGATTTCTTGATGAGCCAAAGCAGACAGCCTAGGCTCATTTCCCCAGCCCTTTCTTATTTCATCGTCCCTGGGTTTTTTGGTTTTTTTTAATATGTTTTTATTGATTTTTTTAGAGAGAGAGAGAGAGAAACATCAATCAGCTGCCTCCTTCATGCCCCCCACTGCGGATCGGGCCCACAACGCATGTGCCCTGACTGGGAATCGAACCGGGACCTCTTGGTCCATGGAATGTCACTCAATGCACTGAGCCACTCTGGGCAGGCTCACTGTCCCCAGCTTTAATAAATGTCCTCTAGCCTGGCCAGTGTGGCTCAGTGGACTGAGCGTCATCTCATGCACCGAGAGGTCACTGGTTTGATTCCTGGTCAGGGCACATGCCCAGGTTGCGGGCTCAGTCCCCAATGGAAGGGTGTACAGGAGGCAGCTAGTGGATATATCTCTCACATCAATGTTTCTATCTCTCTCTCTAAAAAATCAATAAAAACATTGAAAATAAATGAATAAATAAATGGCATCCTCTAGCCTTGGCCAGTGTGGCTCAGTTGGTTGGGTGCCTCCTGTGCACTGAAAGGTCGCCAGTTCGACTCCCAGTCAGGGCACAAGCCCAGGTTGTGGGCTCGATTCCCAGTGGGGGGGCGTGTAGGAGACAGAGATCAATTGCTGTTTCTCTCTCTCTCTCCTTCTCCCTTCCTCTCTCTCTCAAAATCCATGACAAAAATCTTTAAAAAATTTAAATAAAAATAAACGTCCTCTAAAAAAGAAATTGCACTTCTATCCATCAATCCATCCCTTGAGGGGGTGTGATTTCATAGGATTTGGCCTGACTGAGCTGTTTGTTCGTCCCTCTCTCTCTCCACAGTACCTGGTGCTCATGCTCATCGTCTACATCTTTGAGTGTGCCTCCTGCATCACATCCTACACCCACCGGGACTATGTGAGCCAGGCGGGGGCCAGGGGAGGGGCATGACTTCCGGGGGGAATGATGGGGGTGAGGGTCTCGGGCTAAGAGTGGAGGTCGACTTTTCTCCCCACCCATCTCCACTGGGCCCTGTTCTTCCCGGCCCCCCACAGATGGTGTCCAACCCATCGCTGATTACCAAGCAGATGCTAACATTCTACAGTGCAGACACCGACCAGGGCCAAGAACTGACTCGCCTCTGGGACCGCATCATGATTGAGGTGAGCGAGCATAAGCCAGGGTGGGCACGGAGGCCTGGAGGACCTGAGGCTCTGACTACAGAGGTGGATAGGGCTCCCACCATGCCTGCTGGTGTATGATATCCACTTATTTGGTTCTTATGAGGGAGGCTCTGGCCATTGTCATTTTCCAGACGGGTAAACAGGCTCCCCAAAAGGGAACGTGGCTGAGCTGGCATCCAAACCTGGCAGCCTAGATCCAGAATCCCAGCTCTTAATCATGATGCATCCTGTATTAACAACAAACAATTAATGAGCACTGACATCTGGGTAGCACTGTCCAAAGCACATTGAAAGCTTATCTAATCCTCACGACTACCCTACAAGGGAAGTCAGCTTTTCAGCAATGAGGAAACTGAGGAAAGAGGTTGAGGGGCTTGTACAAGGTCACACAACTGGTAGGTCACAGAACCAGAAGGATTCAAACCCAGGATGCCAGGTTCCAGAAATCACATTCTTAGCTAAACCCAACTTGGCATGGCAGCGCAGAGGAGAGCGTTAAGGATTCAGGGGAAACTGGGGCCCCAATTCGGCTCAAGTCCTACAGCTAGCCAGGATGGGAACCCATGTCTGAAAGGGCCTACGTCTTCATCTTTCAGGGACCACAAAGTAAACACCCACAGGGACGAGACAAACACAGAAATCCGCCTTTTGGTGTCACTTAGCTCAGGTTCTGTTGGCAGTGAATTCAAAAGAATTTTAAAATAAGTTACAAGTGTGGCTTTGATCCAAATCTCCCACCAGTCTCTTGGTTCTGGAACAAATATCTATCTCCTGGTCCTTGCTCACACACATGGACCCCGCCCTCCTCTTGGGGGCCCAGGACACGACACGGGAAGGTGGGCCCAGCCGTGGCACGGAACAGCCTGGTCCTTTCTCACTGTCGGACCTCAGGCAAGCGGAGGTCTGCCCTGAGCCGGAGCCTGACCCCTGCCTCTCTCTGCAGCAAGAGTGCTGTGGCACATCTGGTCCCATGGACTGGGTGAACTTCACATCGGCCTTCCGGAAGGCCACCCCGGAGGTGGTGTTTCCCTGGCCCCCACTGTGCTGCCGGAGGACTGGCAACTTCATTCCCCTCAATGAAGAAGGCTGTCGCCTGGGCCACATGGACTACCTATTCACCAAGGTACGTCCCTCCTGCTGCCCCTGTCTGTGGTCTCTCCGGCCCTCCCTGATTCTTCTCTCTCTTCCTCCCTCCCACTGTCTGTTACTTCTTCCTCCCCTCTCTGGCTTTCTCTCTCTCTCCCTTCTCTCAACTCTCCCTCCATTTGTCGCTCCCTCCCTCTGAAAGTCAGCGGGATACACACAGGGTCTGTCTGATTTAGACCTGGCACCTGCAACTCTTCTCAAGTTGTCTGGGAACGTGAGCAACATAATAGCAATAGCACAGCACCAAGAAGAACATTTATTGTGCTTATACTTTGTACCAGGCATCCTTCTAAGTGCTTTAAGTTTCTGTCTTATTTCTCACCACAACCTGATGAGGTAAAGATGATAATTAGCCCGTGTTACATGTGATGAAACAGGGGGTCACTCACTAGTGAGGGATGGAGCTGGGGTTTGATTTTAGACAGTTAGGCCCCAACAAGGTGCTTTAACTGCAAGGGGAGTGCAGAGGCCGAGAAAGAAACCGGAGGAGGTTAGACTAGGAGAGCTGGTCCCAGGGGCCCTCTGGCTGCTCCTGGCTGCCTGGGGCCCTTCAGCACCATGTCTGAGGTCGGCATGCTAACCATCACCACTCTCAGCATGGGACGGTCATGTCCCCAGCCCTGACTCTGTGCAGCGTGCTGACATGCATCCTCATGGAATCTTCACAACTGCTCTCAGAGGACAGTGCTGTTTAAATCATCACTTCGCAGACGGGAAAACTGAGGCTCATGTGGTCAGAGTCATATGTAGGCCCCATAGCCAACAAATGGTAGAGCTAGCCCCCCACTCGGTCCTGCCTGACTCCAGGGCACACACTCTAAACCTTTGTCCTTGGCTGCTTCCAAGTTGGGGCATGAATGTGTGGGGCTCTGGACCCCCTCAGCCTCATCTCTAAATGAGGAGATGTCAGTAGTGGACTGATCCTAAAGGCATATTTCATTTATTTATTCATTTGTTTTTTTAAATCCTCGCCGAGGATATTTTTCCCAGGAAGGAGAGGGGGGAAGAGAGAGAGAGAAACATCGATGTGAGAGAGACACATTGAATGGTTGCCTCCCGCATGACCCCAACTGGGGTCAAACCACAACTGAAGTACATGCCCTTGGTCGGAATCGAACCCAGGACTCCCTGGTCCGCGGGCTGATGCTCTAACCACTGGGCTAAACCGGCCAGGACCCAAAGGCGTAGTTCAAACCCTTGGAACTTGTGGGCAGCATGGAGAGCCGGCTCTAAAGAAAACCCCCCTCAGGCTGTCGGAGTCACCACCACCGCAGCACCTACTTACACAGCGCCTGGGTTCAAGGTCACCTCCCTGCTCTCTGAGACCCTCTAGGAGGTAGACACCAAGTGATCCCCATTGCACAAGGGAAAAACCAAGGCTCAAGAAAGGCAGTGACTTCCCCCAGGGCATCCAGGGGCTCTTGCTTTCTCATTCCCTAGGAATGTTCTCGAACCCTCATTTTCCCCTGCCCAGGGCTGCTTCGAACACATTGGCCATGCCATCGACAGCTACACGTGGGGCATCTCGTGGTTTGGGTTTGCCATCCTGATGTGGACGGTGAGAGGCCGGGAGCCTGTGGGCTGGGTGGGGTGTGGGTGTGGGGCTGGAGTGCCCCTAACCCGACTGCCTCTTCCTCCAGCTCCCCGTGATGCTGATCGCCATGTATTTCTACACCACACTGTGAGGAGCGAGAAGGGATGGCCCCGTGCACACCTCGGCCTCCTCCTCCTCCTGCTTCTGCTTCCTCCGGCTGAGGCTTGGCTGGCCGCCTCACTTCTCCCCTTTCTACCTCCCTCACCCTTCCCTCCGTCTACTCCCAAGGTCTTTTACCAGGTCTCTGAGCTCTGCTAGGAATTGGGGATGCCCTGAAACCCCTGGACACGTATGCATGGACGCTTAGCCCTTAACCTCATTTCAGTTTGATTCCTGCTCCATCTACCAGTGGCAACTTACAGTCCTGTCCTTAGACCTCACCACCCCGTCCACGGATGCCTCCTTCACGGTGGATGTTGCCATTATTACTGAGTGGTTTGTGATCGTCTATTTAAGCTCTGGCCGACTGGGATTGCTCTGAGGGGAGGGACAAGTTCTGTCATGGTCATTCATTGTCCCCAGCATCGCCCAGCACTGGGCTGAGCATAGATATTCAATAAATACTGTTTGCCTGAGTTAATTTGTCTTCTTCTGGGACAGAGGTGAATGAAGGACAAAGGAGAATGAACTTCCCATGGAAAGGGCAGAAACCAACTGGCCCTGACTGAAATACAAAAGGAAATGTACTCACGTAGCCGAGTCATGAGGGCTGGATCCAGGAGCTCAGACTAGGTTTCCAGGAAGCCGGCCTCGTTCTAAGGCAGGAACTACCTGCAACACCAGATGTACATCTTTATAGCTAAGCACCAGAGCGGCGGGAAGGGGTCTCTGTCCCAATAGCTTTAGCCAAGGTCAAGGATTAAATTTCACTGTCTTGGTTCAGGTTGTAGGCCCACCCTTCGGTTAGGGAAGGGAGATCACCGACCGAATGATCCTGCTAAGGATGCATCAGGGAGTCGTGTTGAGAAGGAGGTTGTTCATCAAAGGGAAATCAGAATGCAGGGCTGATGGGCCAGTACGGGTGATAGACATCCTCCTGTTAGGGACCAAAGCTTCCAGCAAGTTCTCTAAGGGGTGCATGACAGACAGCAAACTTTAAGACTCTCATCACTGCTCTTCTGTTCTCTCTGAAGCAAGCTCATCCTCAGGGGCATTTTATTGCAATTAGGCCCTGCCAGGAAAGCCTGGCTCCCTTCCCCAACAGATGAAGTTTCTCAGGATCCTCGTTGACTCCCCTGGTCTGTGGATGGAAAGGCTAAGTTCAGATATCAGTTTTTAAAAATCTGTAATGGTGCCCTGACCAGTTTGGCTCAGTGGTTGAGCGTCGTCCTGTGGACCAGAGAGTCCCGGGTTCGGTTCCCGCTAGGGGCACATACCACCAAAAAAAAAAAAAAATCTGTAATGGTCAAAGAAGTCTCTTAGGGTAAAAAATTAGAAACAACCTAATATCCATCAGCAGGGGATGGGTTGTATGTACAACGCATGTTATATCCTTGGTCTGGAATTCTCAGTGGTGGTTAAAAACAAGATAGATCTATGTGAGCTGATATAAAAAGATGTCATAGCCCTGGCCAGTTTGGCCCAGTGGTAGAGTGTCAGCCCGCAGGCCAAAGGGTCACAGGTTTGATTCCCAGTCAAGGGCACGTACCTCGGTTGCGGGTTTGATCCCAGCCTTTGTCGGGGTTATGTGGGAGGCAACCAATTGATGTGTCTCTCTCACATTGATGTTTCTCTCTCTCTCTCTGTTCTTCCCTCTCTATCTGAAGATAAATGCAGAAAAATGTCCTCGGGTGAGGATAAAAAAACAAATAAAGTAAAACAAATAAATAAAAAGATTTCACAACACCAGTCTAGGTGATTTTGAGAGCATGTTTATTAAAGCTGGTGACGGTGAAACACAGGAAGGACTTAGGGTAGAAGGAGCAACAGGAGCGTGCCTAGGCGGTGCCTGCTTGGGCTCCCTAGGAAGTCATGGAAGAGAAGTGAGCCAAGGTGGGGCTGCTTTGAACTTACTGGAAAGTCAAACGAAAAGGAGGCTTGGAGACAGGATCGGAGGGTAAGCCGGGGACAAGCCGTCACTGGGATGCTCTTCCCCTTGTTGCAAGTCTTGCGGGGACCCTTAGAGTTTAGGAGGAAGTAACAAGTTCATACCTGAGAACAGGCATGGGCATGCTCTAGAGCAAGCCTGCACCAGGTCTTTGTCTTGAAGGTTTTTAATCTCTCTTCTGTGGGCGAGAATCTTAGGGGAGAGTTTCAGTAGAATACTCATCAGCTTTCCAGATGCATTTTCAATATGTTGATGCATCAAAATGAGTGTATGGGGGATTTGGGGATTTTTCTTTGATCTACTTTACTGTTTTACTTTTATCTTGGGTTTGTCTGGCTCTAATCAGGTTTATTTGTTCTCCTGGCTTCATCCATCCTTGGGTTTGACAGGCACAAAGGGCACTAATTGAGTCTCTGTTACCTATCTCCCTGACCAGGGTGATTTAAGCTGTTTATTCTCTGGTTAGGGAGGAGGAGGTATAAACCATTCGCTCTCAAGTATCCTTGGTTAGGGAAGATAAAGTCTTGTGATCCACTAGCTGGCTGTAAATTGTTCAAATTGTTTGGCCTTGTTTAATTATTTTGTCTCAGTTTCCCCATTCCACTTGCCCAGGAATTTTCCTGGCTTATTATCCTGCCTCAGGAACGTCCATGTTGCCCAGCTGGTGTGGCTCAGTGGTTGAGCATTGGCCCATGCACCAAGAAGTCGCCGGTTCCCGGTCAGGACACATGCCCAGGTTGTGTGCCTGATCCCCATTGGGGGGCATGCAGGAGGCAGCTAATCGATCTTCTCTCTTTCATCAATGTTTCTATCTCTCTCCCTCTCCCTTCCTTCTCTTTCTAATATCAATAAAGAAAAAAAACATTTCCCATGTTCCACTCCCACCCCAAAATTTCTCCCACGCCAAATCGGGTCCAACCCCCTACCTAGATAACTGCTATTAATACATAATAAAATTCCTTTTTGACTTTTCAAAAGTTTATGTAGACTGATTTATATTACTTATGTAAGCACACACATATGTTTAATAAAACATGCTTTAAATATTGCTTTGCAACTTGCTTTCTTCACTTAACTGTCTATATTATGGTTATCTTTCCATGTCAGTATATATGAATTCACCTCTTTTTTTTTTTTTACTATTGCAATGTATTTCAAAAAATAGATGCATCCTAAATTATCATGATCTGTTGTTAAGTAAACAAGGCAAGGAGCAGAACAGTATGTATAAGTGATTTCATTTTTATAAAAATCATGTATACAGCCCTGGCTGGTTTGGCTCAGCAGTTAGAGTGTCGGCCTGTGGTCCAGAGAGACCCGGGTTTGGTTCCCGCTAAGGGCGCGTACCTCAGTTGCAGTTTGTCCCCGGCCCTGGTTGGTCGTGTGGGTGGCAGCCACTCGAGGTGTCCCTTTCACGTCGATGTCTCTCTCTCTCTCTCTCTCTCTCTCTCATCTGAACAAAAAATGAAAAAATGTCCTCGGGTAAGGATAAAAAAAAAATTATGTATACAATCAGGCTAATGTGACTCAGTGGATTGAGTGTCACTGAGAGGTGCTGGTTCGATTCCTGGTCAGGGCACATGCCCAGGTTGCAGGCTTGATCCCCAGTAGGGGGTGTGCGGGAGGCGGCTAATCAATGGATCTCTCTCTTTCTCCCTTCCTTTCAAAAAAAAAAAATTAGATAGATAGATAGATAGATAGATAGATGTGTGTGTGTATATATTTAATTATGTACACATATTTCCCATGAAGGACTCCTTTGAGAGGGAGAGTAGGATAGAGGGCTGAAAAGAGGAAGAATTTTCACATCATATGTATCTTTATAATGTTTGAAAATATTTTTGTAAAGATCATCTCTTACTTTTCAAAAACAAAGACTAGTAAAGGGGTTTGTAAAATACTAAACAATATACAACTTTACTTTTGAAGCCAGAATTTTAAAACACCATTTAGATGTGATGTGCAGCCTATTTTAACACACGAGGGCCCCTCCAGGTACCGGCCTAACTGGCTTTTCTGCCGGTCCTGGAATGAAACTTCCCCGACCCTGGGCACATATTTGGCTGCCTTGTAAACATGTCAATTCCAGCCTAATCTACTTACTTTTATTTATTTATTTTTAATTCTTTTTTTTTTTTTTATCCTCACCCGAGGATATTTTTTTCATTTTCTGTCCAGACAGAGCGAGAGGGAGAGAGGAAGAGAGAGAGAGAGAGAGAGAAACATCGACATGAAAGGGACACATCGAGTGGCTGCCACCCGCACGACCCAACCAGGGCCAGGGACAAACTGCAATCAAGATACGTGCCTTTAGCGGGAACTGAACCTGGGTCTCTCTAAACCACAGGCTGATGCTCCAACCGCTGAGCCAAACCAGCCAGGGCTAATGTACTTACTTTTAAATGTAGGTATGGCCTCATGAGCAAGTTCACAGTGACCTAGTCTGTGACCGGGATTCTCTGAGAGAGGCCAAAAGAGGCACCGCTGGGTCTTCACCAGCCCCTCCACACTCTGAGCCTCAGTGTACCCCTCCGTGAAACGGGCCTTTCAACAGTCCCTATCTTATAGCATACAGCCCAAACATTCTAAGAGCTCAGGAACCGGTAGACCGTTTTATTATGAGTCAAGAATTTTCTCGACCCTGGGTAATCAGAAACAATTGCAGAAATACACTGTGTACTGAGGTTGTGGCTGTTTCTGGTAAACCCCAATTTCAAATGTTTGGGTCTCTACTATCCTCATATAGAAGCTGATTCTCTGAAGTGACTCAGATATTTGCACTTATGAAAGTAAAGCCATACTTGAAAATGGCTGGTGCTTTCTCTGAGAGATGGGCGCAGCATATGTTACAATTAATATGATTTTATTTATTTATTTATTTTTGGTTGAGGGAGGGTCTTTAAAGAACATTTGTGGAGCCCAGCCAGTGTGGCTCAGTGGTATAGTGTCGACCCATGCACCAGGAGGTCACTGGTTTGATTCCGGTCACAGCACATGCCTGGGTTGTGGGCCTGATCCCCAGTGGGGGGCATGCAGGAGGTGGCCAATTGATGTTTCTGTCTCTCTCTCCCTCTCCCTTTCTTTCTCTCTAAAAAAATCAAGAAAGAAAAAGAGAGAGAGAGAGAGGGAAGAAAGAAAGAAGGAAGGAAGGAAGGAAGGAAGGAAGGAAGGAAGGAAGGAAGGAAGGAAGGAAATAAGGAAGGAAGGAAGGAAGGAAGGAAGGAAGGAAGGAAATAAGGAAGGAAGGAAGAAAGGAAGGAAATAAGGAAGAGAGGAAGGAAGGAAGGAAGGAAGGAAATAAGGAAGGAAGGAAGGAAGGAAGGAAGGAAGGAAGGAAGGAAGGAAGGAAGGAAATAAGGAAGGAAGGAAGGAAGGAAGGAAGGAAGGAAGGAAGGAAGGAAGGAAGGAAGGAAGGAATAAGGAAGGAAGGAAGGAAGGAAGAAGAAGGA